CGCTGTGGCTTTGCGGTGTTTAACGGGCTGTCTTGTGCGGGGCCCCGTGCTGGCAGGGGGCCGGTATGCGGCCTCGCGTGTCGTGGGTTTTCATCTAAACGTAGAGCAAAACAATTGTAGCTGGGAGGATGAGGTTTGCATCCCCCAGCGAGGAGAAACTTCTTCCGAACAGTAGATCGTTAGCGCTGAAGATCCAATTCTCTTGTTTTCCAGGATGCGTTACGTCGCAGCTTACCTTCTAGCGGTCCTTGGTGGCAACGAGTCTCCCACGTCAAAGGACTTGAAAAAGATCCTCGACAGCGTTGGCATCGAGACGGACGATGAACGCATGAACAAGGTGGCATTGCCTCTTAATTCCAGATGGTCGCGTCCCAGCCAGCATCAGACATTGGAGCTGTTTCCTTGGCCTCAGTGTTTCTTTAGTTGCCTTGCAGTTGATCTAGTCTTGTTTTGTTCAGACGTTCGCTGATCATTACATGTGTGATTTCTAAAACACTGCTTAACCAATCAGAACTATTTTTACGTTTTTGTAGAAGTCTGGCTTTCTTATTTAACACCTGTCCATCGCAAAGATCTCTGTCAGTTGTTGCTGACTTCTGACTGCTCAATCTAATAATTTTCAATGGGATGGTGGCTACAGATAACTATGTATTGAAAATAAGTTCTGTTCTGACATAATGTATAGTTTGCACTTAATGTTAATTTTGGCTTTTGGTTAGTATTGATTCAATGCTAACACTTTTGAAGGCCTGATATTCAGTAATAAACTCTTATTTAGTGTACTGCAGAGAAGCATTTGTTCCTTCACCAAGAAATATAGGCAGGTTATAACATGGACATTAATGGTATTTAATAATAATACGTAGGAAGATTTTGGAAATTAATGCTGAAATGGTTATGTTGAAAAACAGGCTTTTTAAGAAGAAAGTATCTTAATTAGAATGTTTCTTGTGATATAATAGACTTTCAGCCTTTTGGACTTAAAAATAAATGGCCACGGAAAAAAAAGAACCAAAAAAATGGTCTTATCACCTGGCCCATACTTTTATGTGGAGTGTTTCCAGAGAGGTGGAGGAAAAAAACAAGTTACTTTCCCAGCTGGAGACAGTGTTTTACTGTAGGCCCAACCAAATGATGGACTGACGGAGCTGACAGCATCCTTCTTATGGTTTGGGATGTTGGTTTGAACTCGTGGTGCTCCTGTTTAAATGCCAGGTCTTTCGGCGTTGGCTTGTTTACATTTTTTTAATACCTTCATAAATCAGCTGTTTTCTCTGATCCTCCAATATCCGGAAAGCTGCTCTGGAATTTGTTTTGGTCATGATTAATTAATCCTTTTCTATTTGCATTGGCTGTATCTTACGCCAGTGTAAATCTAGTGAAGTCTTAAAAACACCTTCCTTCCGGATGAAGCAAAGCCCCCAGGCACGGCATTTCACAGGTCACGCGCTCTGTCTAAGCAGGAGGTGCCTGTTGAAAAGCTCTTGGTTAAAGCCCTTTGGCTTTGGTGATTCTGCAGTGTTCAGCACTGGCTCCTGGTAGCAGGGACTCACCAGTAAGGTCTGTGGCACATTCTTTTTTTTTTAAAGTGCCTGCTTGCTTTAGCAAATTTGGGTTTTGTGTTTTGCTTTCCTCATCCCTGGTTATACAACAATGGTAGTAAAATTGAAGTTGGGACTCTCTGTTCCAGTGCGAGGATACAATAGCCAGCTTGGCTGTGACATCTGGTAACGCTAGGAACAGGACCCTGTGGTTTTTGGTCTAGGGCCCAGTGCTTCAGAGCCTCCCAGTGGGTGTTAAGCAAGATATGTTAACAGTCCCTCAGTGACTAACAGACCATTAGTGGGGTTTCCTAATTGGCTCCATGACATCTGTGTATCCTTCTTTCTGCAAGGTCCTTGGATTCATTATGAATTTATTGTAATAGATTTCATGAAAAAGCTTTCACAGAAAAGTATGAAAGACTTAGCTAAAGTTTTCGTTCCAATGCCTTGTTCCTTCCACTGAGAAATAAGGAATGTTGGGGCTGTATAAGCAGCAGGATGGAGGCGTTGCACATGATGATTAATCAGTACTTGTTTAAATGTAGCTTATACTCATGCTGTTTTGAAACTATTAACATTCTAAACTTAATTTACACAGGTTATTAGTGAGCTGAATGGAAAAAACATCGAGGATGTCATTGCTCAGGGTAAGTACAGTCTCTGAGTGTCACAGATAATTGCCTCTACTAACTTAGAACCTGAGAGCGTGGAATTGCTGCCAACTCCCTGATTATTCATCAGTTTAGCTTCGCAGTTGAGGACTTCCATGCTGGATCTTGGCTGAAATGACTGAAATCCAAGTCCATTCTAATTCCCTGCAGGTCAGTGCCAGTACCTGCTGGGTTTCGCTTGTGGACCACATTACACTGGAAAACTTAAACATGTATGAGCTTACTGGTAGTCTGCTCATGACATAGTTTTCTGGACATGTTGATCGGAGAAAGAATTAGCTGTCCTTCGAGTTCTCTGGAAGATTTTGCGTTTACCCACTTGTATGCACCAATTATGTAAAACAGGAAGAACAGACTGTTAAATGTAAATAAGTGTCAATTCACATTAAGGGTACAGTTACACCCTCTGCGATTAATACAAGCCTCTCCAGTACACATCTCTTCTAGAGCTCCCCAAGTCTGGCATTTGCTTTTCTCTATGATAGGACTCTCAGTGCTGACTTCTGTAGAAGCTTGTGCTCTTACCAAAGCTGGAACTTTTTAACATTAATTGACTGGGTCATAGGGCTGAAATAAAGCAGAGCTGAGGTAGTGCAAAGGTTTCTGATTAATTAATTTCTATTTTTTTTGCAAGTGCGTAGGCACAAGGTAACTTTTAGGCATATATTTGCTTAAAGGTTGCCAGGACTTTGCCTGGCTTTGCTGTTATGAGCAGTAACTGGACATTTCTATCCGTGTGGTCTGAAGACCTAAGAGCCGTTATGCATGTGCTTACAACACACTTACGCTATCCCTTTCTGTAATACTTCTTCTTTAAATAAATTGTTTCCTAGAACATACTGACATGCATATGAAACATGTTTGTTTACTTGGCTAGTTTATTAGAGCTTGAAGTAACAGGGAATTATTTAGAAACTGATTCCCAGAAATTGGAATACAGGCAAACATACTGTGTACGTGACCTCTGAATGCCTTGGTATGTGAAAGGCAGATGCCAGAGCACTAGCTAGCTTTCCAAAGACGAGCATAAATCAGAATTCAGTTTGCTAATCCCAAAGGAGATGCAATAGGGTTCATAGAGTGCTGGGGAATTTGTTTAAGATACTGTACTCTTTGCCATAAATACGTCTTTCCCCCCACTCCCTTCTCTCCTGTAAGTGTGATCCAGTCATGCCCTCACAGTTCTCTGTACTGTTAAAAAAAAGGGGGGGGAAGCCAGTGCTGCCTATATGTTGTTTTTGAGGTATATTAAAATTGTCAGGTTTTGGGCTATTATGCTGTATTCAGAGAACATACAGTTTTTCTGTATGTGTAAAATTGGATGTGTTTGCCACTATTTTTATATGACAGTTTTGGGGAAAAAAAAAGGGGGACTTTGTACAGAAGAAAACTTACTAATAATGTGCTGTCAGTGTTGTCAGGATAAGCCTTTGTGAATCTTAAACTCTTGAGATTTTTTTACAGAATAGTTTATACTTTCTTATCACGGGTGCAGCGTCTTGTTCCTTTCAGCTAATAGGGCAGGTTCAGTCCATGAGACGTAGTATCTGTTTTTTCTGCACTCTCATTTCTCTTCCTTTTCGCCTTACCTCTGTGCTTGCGATGAGCGTTTAAATACTTTCCCTTCTGTCCCACTCAGGTAACGGAAAACTTGCCAGCATGCCGGCTGGGGGAGCTGTGGCAGTCTCTGCTGGAGGGGGCTCTGCTGCTCCTGCTGCAGCTGCTGCCCCTGCGGCCGGTGAGTATGGGTGGAGAGGCATTGTTACAGGGCAGCTCCGTTTTTCTCTGTTAAAATCTTAACAGTTGAGTCCAAATTCCAAGGCTTTTACGCTTTGGCAGTTCACTATGTGATTGAGTTCACAGATTCGCTGTGGCAGATTCACTGTGTTACTTTGCCTTTGGGCAATCAGAAGCATTTGCTCTTTATCCACCTTAAGATTGGTCTGGCTTAGAACTGAGAATCAGACAGACTTCACTGTGTAAAGCACATCCCTTCAATAGCAGTCTCTGTGTCCCCTCGGTGTTTATATTTGGCTATTGAAAGGGAATGAGATGAATTATGGAGGCTGAAATGCCAATAATACATGTTTTGGTGTTCTCAGCTTTCGTATCCTGAAAATCTGTGGTGCAAAAAACATAAATACTGACCATTGGCTTGGTCTTTTTTTTCCTTCAGCTGAGGAGAAGAAAGAAGAGAAGAAGGAGGAATCTGAAGAATCTGATGATGACATGGGATTCGGCCTATTTGATTAATTATTTGTTATAGAGAAATTATTAAAATTCTTTGTTTTAAATGTTTTTTGAGTTCATTATTATAACCATGCAAGTGCTATTGCATTCAGACAGCTGTTCTTAAAATAGCTCTGACAAAGCTTTGATTTCTGTCTCTCTCTGAAACAGGTATGTGAATTTTATGACAAGCCATGGGGGACTCAACTCTCTTAAAGTACTTAGGAAATGGCTAAGCTTGTGTGAACCTGGATGCTTGTTTTGACACTCCTGTTTCTTAAACAGTATGTGGAAGCTGAATCTACCTGATGTTAACTTAAGTTCACCTTCTCCATGCTATTTTGCTATCCCAGTTACTCAGGAAAGAGTCCCATCTATTCAGCAATAAAAGGACTTTATTTTTCAGGATCTGTTTAATCAATTCCAAAACATGTGAAAGTGAATGGACAGCAGGTCTGAATTAGTCCAGAAACATCATTTCAGAGCTAGTTATAGTAATTAGTTTTTGTAAATGTCTAAAAGCACCAATTTCATCGCTGTGTCAGATTTCTGAGATCTAGGGCCCAATAAAATGCTTGACTATGCTTGGATTTCATGTTACATCTGTATGCTTAACATAGAATCTGCAACAAAAAAAAAAATGCTGCATCCTGCTCTTCATGGGACATTGAGATAATGCAAAGGTGCTCTTCATACTGAATGGCTGTTCTGGGGGTAGCTGAACTATCAGGACATGAATCACCTTGATCTGAACAAAAAAACTATTTTAAGAGGAGAATGGTATTTTTGGAGAACTAAAACTGATCTCTAGCATGCTCAGAAGAACGCATCAGCTTGGGAGGACAGTAAATTTTGCTTTTCTAAAGTGTCTTCTGCTAGGAGATGGTGCTGGCAGGCAACTTACCCTGACTTCTACAGTGGTCTTTGGCTGTCACTGTAAGTAGCTAGAGTACAAGTAGCACATGTGACGATCTTCCCATGCCAAGTCTCCGCAGGTAGTGTCAAAAGGTGGTGTCCTGGAGCGGTCTATACTGTGAAGATTTCCTAACATAGTTGTTCTGGGAAAAAAAAAAGCACTAGCTGATTCAGCTGTGTTGGTTATGAGTTATTGGACAAAGCGTGGCAAGTACTTCTGAGAGGAGAGATGGGTGAAATCCAAGTAGGAAAAACTGTTTTATCTCCCTGTGGTGTACTGAGAGAAAACGCCCATTACTTCACAATAGCCAAGGGAGAGAGCAGTTGAAAGATCCTCAGACCTCAAAATGGCTGTGATTTAAGCAACTAACCCTTGCTGCTCTTCTGTGCCTGCTGCAAGAAAGAGTTACAGGAGGTAATGGTGCCAATACCTGTCATCTACTTTGTCTCTTAAGTCCTAGCATGGTGATCATTGCGGGAGTAATGAAAACTGCTCATGTTCGCTCTAGTTCTCTGTCGGACTCGTAATGGCTGGGGTGCAGGTATACCTGTGTTTCTTTCCTTGCTGATTTCTCCATTTCAGATCACTGAAAAAGAGTGGTTCTTGAGTGTGGTTTTACTGAGAGGTAATCCCCACACACCCTGCAATATTGCCTTGCTTGGCTGCTGCAGAAGCAAAGTCAGTGTTTTCACAGGGAGGAACTGCCCTGTCACACCACTCAGCAGGGTTTTTCCATGCACAAGGGAATTTGTTTCAGTGGCACTGAGCTATTCCATGAGTTTTGCTGTGCCCAGGCCTGTGGGATGAGACTGAAACCTGTGGTGCCAGCTGCTGGCTACTGTGATGAGGGGAGGACTACAGCTATATCTAGACTAACTTCTTTCCTCCCCCTGTTTTTCTCTATCTTGTCCCTATGAACCTGTTAAACCTTGAGTTACGGACCTGATCCTGTGCTGGGTGTCCTCTTACCACCTTTAAATTCCTTCCTGAAAGTGCATCATTTTGATGAAAACTCCTGTAGCTCAATCTGCTTTGAGAGAGAGAAGGACATTTGGTAAACTGTTTAGAGAAGAAACTTCTTGGGGCAGCTCTCGGAGAAAGCACTGAAAATACAGCATTTGTTAACACTGCCACAGGCAGCCAATGTATTTTACATAACCACGCTGTAGGTATTCCTTGTGAAGGTCAGGGGACAGGTCTACTCCAAGATTTCATGCACATTTTACAAGATTTACTAAAACCTCTGCATGGCGAACATTTCTTATGAATGCAAAACCGAAGCATTTTAAGCTTTCTTCCGCTGTACCTATTTACGAAACAGTTGTCGCCTGATGGCCAAGCAGTGATGTGCCTGGAAGTCTGTTGCAGACTTGTTTGGTGCTCTGGATGGAGTTCACCACTCTGTTCTGCTGACCTCAATGAGCTTCAGCTATGAAGGGGTTGAGATCCCTGCTCCTGCTCTGTGGACACTGTTCTGAATTTTCAAGTGTCACTGATGCCTTTTCAGACTTAGCAATAATTTCCAAAGGCAAGGGTAGCGGTGGGGTGGATGTGTTGTATTCCATGACGCTCTCAGAGAAAACTAGTGCCTGCAAACGCTTGGAGTGGTGGCCTAGTCTGTCCCCTTGCAGAATCAATTTTAGCTAGAACAGATTTTTCCTGACTTCTTCATAAAGAAAGGCTCAAAGGCGTTGAAGAGAAAGGAAAGGATAGCCTTGTACCTGGAGATTACACTGGTAACTGATCATTACTAAATTGATGATAGGGGAGAGTGATTTAGTCATAGGCCTGACGTTGAAACATGCAAGCTTTCCTCACTGGGACACAAATGCTGTGCCATCTCAAACCAGCTCTGACCAAAAATCATTCCTTACAAACACCATGGGGCAGGGAGATTGACACGACATTTTCACTACTTGGAAAGCAGGGAGAACATCCTGGACACTACTGGAAAGTAATAAGCAATGGCTCCCAGGGGCCACTGTCAAATCAACTGGTTTCACTCTTATTACTACGGCCCAATTTTGCAAGCTGCTACATGCAGGCAGCCCTGTTGAACTCAGTAGGTTTGATTTACATAGGGCAGAGATATATGTAGTAGCTTTCCTAGAAGGAAAATTCAGTCCCAATAGAGCAGGACAAGAGGACTGCGCCGTTGCCTCGGGAGATGCTCCTATGAAGCAAGTCCCAAGTGTTTGCCATGGAATTGTCTGATATACGCAAACATCACAGGTAAGAAAAAGACATCAGTCAGGCTTTCCAGCGATGTTAACAGCACTCGGGTTGGACTTCATAACCAGTGCCCCAGTCTTGCTGGCTACAGGCAACAGTGCTAAAGCAGCATGCTGAAGACAACAGTGTAACAAACTGCCTCTCAGCTTCCCTTTAAAAATAATTCCCATTGGCTGCCAACAAGCAAGGTCTTACCTGAAAAAAAAAAACAGAGATTGTTTGCTTGTATGTTATTATCTCATATGTACTAACTGCTCACCATTCATTAGACTAGAAAACAAATGCAACAAGGAGAGATTGCATGAGAAGCTGTCTCAGTGGCATCACAACATGTAAGGGCATGAGTGAACTTGCAATGTTCTGATAGGAGTTTGATGCACATGAAAAGCTGTTATGTAAATCTTGCTGACCTGGCTTATTGCAGGATTATGAGCAATTGCAGGATTATGGCAGTACTTTCTTATTGAGGAGAAAAATATTAGGTTTGGGGGATAATTTATTTTTGAGAAAAACACAGTTGTTTGCCAGCCTGCTACTACCAGTACCCAGGCAGCACTCCGCAAGAGATTACTGTTCACATGGTTTACTTTATTAACCTGTTCCAACAGGGCAGCATTAACCTCCTCAAATAGGCAACCTTGAGGGCCAAGGCAGAGTGATGTAAACAACTCAGGATGAGATTGCTGTTGAGAAATCAAGTGAAACTAACCCCAGGATTGTCGCAGCATTGTTCTTTCTATTTTCCAGAATAGTAGGAACCTCAAGGTTTGTGAAATGCTGAAAAAAGAGGAAACAGCATTGGCTCAAGAACGAAGCTGTTCTTGTGGTTACAAGCGTTAGGGAGGTATCTGCAAACAAGGTTCAATATTCAGTTTTGCCACCGATTTCTGCTAAAGTCACACACAGCCCATTGACTCATTCTTCTGCAGCACAATCCCTGTTCTGGAAAATGCAAGACACAATGTTTTCTTTGGGTTTGGCTGCATGGAAATATCTCCCCATGTCACCAGAAGCATGGGGTGAAAGCACTATGAGTGTCTTGGTGTTAAGGGCCTTTAGGAGGGTCAAGGCTCAGGTGCGCTAACACTCGCCTCTTCAGGTGGAGGAGATGAGGGCTGACAAGGGTTATGTAACCACATCAAACGCAAGGGAGGAAGGAAATTACAAAAGTAGAGGTATGAGAGGAAGAGAAAGAAGGGTGGGTATAGGCCATAAACAGAGGACTTGAGATAAGTGGGGTTAATTCTTCAGGTGCTCCAGGATGGAGCATCAAGGGTACTTCCTGGCAGCAGGCGAAATGGTGGGCTCCAGGGTAGGACCTGGAAGAAAGATAAGGCTGGACTCCTGCCTGTCTGATGGAAGGAAAGCGCAAACGTTTAATGAAAAAGCATGCTGTAGAGGCTGGAGTATGAGGCCTAACTTGAGCTCAAATACTGGATTTATACAAGGCTTACCTGCTGAGTTTGGCTGCTTCAGACTGTGAGGCAGCAGACAGCTGTTCTTACAACCTGGATGGCCCCTCCGTGGGCAGGGTATCAGCCTCCCTTGTACCCCTTTAAAGGATGCTTGGAGTGGAAGGAACAGGAGAGGGGCTACTTGGATGACCTCTGCTAACATAATTGGTGACATTCCTGTGAGGAGGAAGGTGTGGCTTTGCTTAGTCTGAGAGCTGTTAAGGACAGGTATAACAGTGTCCTAAATGAGAAACTTCTGACCAGTTTTAAGAAAACTAATGCAAATAGATTTATGCCAAGATGAATTAAGGATTGGGTTTTTTTTTTAACTTTGGTAGAAAGTGCTTTTGCCTCATCATGTTGATTCTATTAAAAAACTACTTCTGCTTTTTGTTTTGTGCCCCCCACACCTCCCTCCTGCTGATCTTGCTTTGAGTTGAGCAGCTGCTTCTTTTGCTATGCTGATC